AAAAGGTCCCGCGGCGCGTTTTGAGCAGCATGCGCAGCGCGTCTGAGCAGCTGATGCAGCGCATCGGGCGCGTTTAAGCATCTGACGCGCGTGACGCGCTGCAAACGCGTTGCTGCTCGAGATGGAAAAATATAATTTTTGCTGCTCAACACCAACGTCAACCAATCAGAGAAGCTGATCTGGGAGCTGGCTGGGAGAGAGACACAGCGCTGATGACACAGACCGCTCTGATCACTCCTCTTAAACAGCATAATTAAACAGCAAACTTAAAATGCATACATCTGCCGGCAGAATATGTTCGCTTTTATTATTCTGGTGCCTGCAGATCGGATTATTTAGATGAAAAACACCTACCAGCGGTGAACCGCGAGGAGGCGACCCGGCCAGAGGCTGCTGTTGAATGGATTCCTTCTGTCGGCGCACCGCCGGTATGTGGGGGTGTGAGCGGCTCCGACATAAATAACATTGGGAGGCAGGATTGTAATCTGGATGAACTGACTGCACTGATGAAGTTTTCAGGTGTATTTTCTCACTTAAAAACATATTAAAACTACTTTATTCCCACTGATCACAGCAAATATAGCTGCAAGGCAGAGAAAGGATAGTGAAGCTCCGCCCAACGCGCATCAGAGCCATTTTTGCACCGCGCAGCCAGAGCAGCAAAGCTGCTTCAGCCGCGCGTCAGAACTAACTGGTACAAGCAGCAAAAAGGAAGCAGCAGACGCGATTTTGCTGCTTTTGCTGCGTCCGGTCTGAACGTAGCATTATATGCAGTTGATGAATGGATGGGTTCAGGAGCTGCAGATCATAAAGACAGCAAACAGTGGGAACACAGTAATCCGTACGAAGGTAAGCTGTGATCAGATGGGCTCTGGAACGTGCTAGTTTAGCAACTGCTAACCGCTAATGCTAACAACCACTGACGCATGTAATGTACTTTTAACTAGCTGCTATGTGTTTCAAAGGTGTAGTTAGTAACGTTAACTGCCAACCCTCCGGGTTTCTCACGTATTTGAGCCTTTTCCCGCTGCCGTTTTTATTATTTTCCCGTAAAAGATCCCAACTTTGAAGGAAAGAAACAAAGTAGGCTATAAAATAAAACCGTGCATCTTTAACTCACCAGAATGAAAATGCAGGGAACACACTCTCAATGACATTGGAATACTGTGGACAGTTATGTTCGGTCATCTTACAGCCGCGATCCAAGCTTGCCGACAACTCTTTATCTCTGACGCTTGGTCTCCATGGTTACGCCTCCAGGCAGGAAAGCGGTGGAAAGTTAACCCATTTTCTATGTTTTTCCCATGGCGATCATGTTTTGAGCTGTTACAGCCCACAATACAGCAACGGTTTACCATGGTTGAAATCAAGTTAAGGTGAAATTAATCAAATTAAAACACGGCTGAGAAGGAGTACAGTATGCCGTAGTCATAGGCAGTAGTAGTCTGAGCCGCGGTTAAAGAGGCCGTATAGATGGCGACTCAAAGTGCTTACGTCATGACGACCAAGCCCTATTATCCCAGCAGGTTGCCATAGTGATCTGGCCAAGTGCGTGCAAAGATGAAGCAAAGAGTAGGGGCTCCCCCCCACTCAACCCACTACTCGTTCCGTTTGAACATGCCCACAGAGGGTTGGCCATATTTAGTCCTGTCTGAAACCAAATGTAAGTGAGTAGCTGAAAAGGCCTCCACAGCAATTGAGGACCTGTTTCCTAGTCAACATCACATGTAACACTAAATTATGGTCGGCCTGGAGGATGGGATGTATAAATGCAACTTCTAGGTATGTGTTACACACATTCACTAAGTAAAGAAACACCTCACCAAAAAATTATGTTAGAAATGCACTTGTGTTGAGTAACTTATTACACGATTTGACCTACATGAAGTTATAACTGAAAAATCTAAAAAATGTGGGCCTAATTCAATTCAGTTTATTTATATAGTGCCAAGTCACAACACCTGTCATTTCATGGCACTTTACAGTTCACCAGATCATACAATCAAATTGATTAAAAGTTTGCTATCTAAGGCAAACTAGTTGATTGCTTCGACTCATTGACTCGAAGGCAACCCCTTACACCAAGCAGGCTTGTAGCAACAGGGGAGAGGAAAAACTCCCTTTTATTTATTCATTTTTTTACTTTTTTATTCAGATTTTCCAGTGCAGATCACATCACATAGATGTTACAGATATTACATTTATAAATTCACATATTCTGTTTCAGAAAGTTTTTTGTGTCCAAGGTTTTAAAATGACAGATAATAATATCAATACAGTAAAGATGAAAAAAAAAAAAAAAGCAGGAAACTCCCATTTATCAAACGTAATTTCCATCAGATGTGGTTCGAAATGAATGTTTGAATTGGAGACAATTTTTCTAAGAAGATTTTACTTTTCATATGAAGTTTTGCCGTAATTTTTTCCATATGGTAAACCTCCCTCACTCTGTTCTTCCACTGGGAGATTGTTGGGGGCTGAGGCTTCAGCCATGAGACCATAATCATTTTCTTTGCAAGGACAAGTAAAACCTTTAAGACATAGGTCTTACTGTGATCTTGGATTATATTCTGGAAAATACCTAGTATTATTAAAGTTGGCTCTAGGGGGATTGTAATGTCCAAGCATTTTTTAATGTCCTCAGTAGGTTGATAGTTTTGGGCAATCCCAAAATATATGTGTGAGATCTCCAATTAGTCCACAATCCCTCCAACATTTGTCTGAGGTGCGGTTAAATCTAGATGTGGAAAGAGGGGTCCTGAAAAAGCTCACCTTGATTTTCTATTCAAATTCTCTTAACGTTGGGCTATTGGATATTTTTTGACCCTCTCGAAACATTTTCTCCCAGTCCTCAACAATGATTATTACATTCAGTTCTAGTTCCCATTTTCCTTTAATATGTTTTGTACCAGTTATTACTTCCTCTTGCAATATTTTGTAAATATTGGATATGAATTTGGTGGTTATATTTCCTTTTATTACCGAGAGAAAAAAAAACTCTCTATGTTTGAGGGGGGTAATTGTAAGCTTTCCTATTCCCTATGTTTCTGCAGATAGTGTCTCATTTGTACATATTTATACAGATCATGTGTTGGAAGATCGTATTTTCATTGAAGTTGTTGAACGACATTAGGTTTCAGTTTTCAAACATTTGATCTATTAGAATCAATCCTTTTTTAACCCAGTTATGTAGTCCAGATGCAAGAAGAAATTCAGAGTTATGGTCGAGCCGCATAATTCTACATAATGAATTGGGTAGATTTTGTAGCTTTTTTTATCTTTGCCCAGGTCAATAGAGTAAATTTAACCCATTCGTTATTAATTTTATTCTTTGTCCATGTGTTTTGGTTAACAAATGGGACAGTATCAAGGAGTATGTCTGGGGAGTCACCTTGTTCCATCTTGTACCAAATTGTATCTTTGTCTTGGCGTATCCATGTTATTATTGATCTAGTTTGTGCGGCCCAATAGTACTTTTAAAGATTTGGTACATTTAGTCCCCCATTCTCATTAGGGCACATAAGAGTTTTCAATCTGATTCTGGGGCGTTTGTTTTGCTAGATAAATATCGAAAGCCATTTATTCAGAGTATTAAATATGGACATGGGTATTTTTATAGGTAAGGTTTGAAAAAGAAAGAGAAGTCTTGGTAGAAGGTAAATTCTGATGATTTCTATCCTCCCTACTAGTGAGAGGGGTAGAATGTTCCATATCATAAGGTCTGTCTTGATCACATCCATTATTTTTCCATAGTTAGCTTTAAAAAGTCGTGAAGTTTGAGGGGTTATGAGGACTCCTAAATATCTGAATCCCTGGTTAGATATTTTAGTTTGAATCTATCAGTTAATTTTGAGGGTAAATTACTGCAGTAACATCACTTCAGATTTGAATTGATTGATTTCGTAACCTGAAAGTCTACCATATTCTTCTATAGTCTCCATAAGTGGGGGAATAGACTTCACAGGATCACTTATGTAGGTCAAAATATCATCGGCAAAAAGTGAAATCTTGTTTTCCGTATTATTTTTTATCTCTAATGCCTTTAATATGTTTGTTCATTCTAATCGCTGCTGCCAGAGGTTTGATGTTTAATGCAAAGAGTAGGGGGCTAAGACAATCTCCTTGGCGAACCCCTCTTTCAAGCATAAAGAAATCGGAGCAAAATCCATTAACTCGTAACACGTGATTTAGGGTTTGTATATTATTATTATATATTATTTAAATCCATTCCAACTTAATCCATTCCACAAAAAGTGGATAGAAGCCCATAGATAGCAAGGCTTTATATAAAAAATTTCCAGTTAACTGTATCAAAAGCTTTTTGTGCATCAAAACTAATTAGCATACATTCTTGGTTGATTTCTTTGGCTTGTGTTATAACATTCAGAGTTCTCCTTATGTTATTAACACTTTGTCGGTTTGGGATGAAACCCGTCTGGTCTGGATGGATTAGTTTTTTAATATATTTCTGTATTCTTTTACTTAGAATACTAGTTAGTAGTTTTAGATCTGTGCATAACAGGCTTATCGGTCTGTATCCCTCACAGATTGTTGCGTCTTTTCCTTCCTTATGTATAACTGACATGATGGCCTCGGACCAGGAATTTGAGATTTCACCCTTTTTAACTGCATAGTTAAAGACTTCAGTTAGTATTGGTGATAGGATGTTTTTGAAGCACTTATAGAATTCCCCCAGGAGTCAATCAGTGTCTGGAGATTTATTATTTTTCAAATTGGTAATTGCCTCCTGTACTTCTGTTTCTCTTATAGCTGAGATCATATCAGCTGCTTCCTCATCAGACAGAGTAGGGAGTGTTAACCTAGCAAGAAACATAGCAGTCTGGTGTTTACTTCGTTATTAAAGCTACAGTGTGTAATTTTCAGCGACATCTAGCGGTCAGACTGCAGACTGCAGCAACATGAACATCTCCCCCCCACCGCTTCTCCCCCCCAACAGTACGGCGAGCGTTACGGGACAAAATGTCTTCTAGGCCATAGGCTGAAGCTCAAAATGAGGCTAGAAATAGGATTTCGCTCCACTAACCTGGGGACTACTTTTCGAAAGCAGTTTTCTAATCTTAAATATGTACTCGAGCTGGGAAAAAAAGTTCTCCATGGGATTCCTGCCAGTATTTGAGAAACTGGGTGCCAAAGGTGGCAGTTTACCCGAAAAAGTGACAAATTTGGGTCTTCTAGCATTTTCAAACCCTTGTAACTTTTTTTATTATCAAGGCGATCGGACTCAGAATTTTGATTCCCACAGACATTCATACTTACTCAGAGCTTATAAAGCGGCAATGTTCTGCGTGCTTTAAGTAAGGAGTTATTCTAAATGAAAAAACACCCTTTTTAACAATTTCACATCTCCCAAAATATATCTTTATTGCACATGAAAACTGCAATTCTTTGAATTTTCAATTGAAAAACTCTAATAGCAAGATATCCTTTTGTGTCTGGTTAACTAATAACTATGAAAAGTGGTGTTAATTTTATCACCTAGCAGACCAGTTACAATATTGAAAGCAAAATTTTAGGAAATAACTGAAACACAGCTAAAATTTGAACAATGAAAACTAGGCACAAAGACATTTCTGTTTTTAAACAATGAGATGTTAAACTTTTTAGGATCACTTCAGGTTGTTACGACTTCAGAATTACAATAGAAAACACAAAGAAATTATGAATAATCAAAATCACTTTCATTTGATTCAGAGTCTGGCATTTCATCAATGCTCTCCGATGTCTGGAGAGACAATTCATCAGGTGTAGCATCACGGTTCTCACAGTCCACACATTTGCAGGAAAAGAAACAAGAGACTTTTGCTTTTAAACAGGAGCATTTACCCTGAGAACATTTTCCGACTTTACAAGAACAGCAAGATGTTTTAAGAACCACATCTAGGGCCGCAGCGATAGTCATCCACTTTATAGACAATGCCCAACCTTCTAAAATCCAGCCATGACTCTCAGGAGAAGGAGCGCAGATCTGTTGCTCAAGCGATCTCCGGTGAATAGCTGCTTGATAATTGGCTCGCAAGCTGTGCTGGTAGAGGGCATCTTTTGTAGGAGGCAAAAGCTTCTCTGAAGGAGAAGCTTTTGACACATTTGACACCTGCTGACCATATAAATGGCAAACAAACCTTTCCAATTCAGAAGTACATCTGTCCTCCAAATCAAAGCTATGACCTAGTTTGATAAAAGCATCACAGAATCTCTCTTCTTTTATCAGTAATTCCAAAGCCTTTTTCTTTCCCTTGCCAAAGAAAGCACTGACTGAATCACAGCCTGTAAAAACATGGAGCCCAATTAATGCTTCACTTATCTTAACACCTAGAAAAGAAGCAACTCTGCCGATATCAATCATACGCGTATGCTGTTGCGTACCGGTTAAGAAGAACAGATTCAAGTGAGCAGGCAAACAAGACTTCAGAGAAATAGCGATAACTGCAACATCTGTATCAGGACTTCTGATAATGACAGAGCTAAACGTCTTAGCAGCATGATTAGCATGTAGTAAAAGCCTGGTGTCTGCTTCCTCGTGGTCACATAAAGTCAGCTCCGGTACAACAGACAGATTAACTTTACCACCAACGTACCTCAACAGATGGCAATCCTTTCCATGAGCCACAAAAATGGCAATGTCCTGCTTTAGCGAACTGAGATCAGCATCCTTCCATACAGAGAAAAGAAACTCCACTAGGGATTCTTTGTTGTCACCATCTGATAAGAATTTATTCCACTGTTTTGGAGTTTTCTGATCTTTGCTGTATATACTTGTTTTTTGGGTCCCTGAAGAGCTTCGCCGTGATCGCTCAATATTTTTTATGCTAATAGTAGGGTAACGGTCAGTAACAAAGTCAACTCGCCTGCAGCTATACCTACAAGCAAGGCTAATGACAACCTGGAGTATTCTATCAGCTAGCTCACCAAATGTACTCGGAACAGAGCTAACAGACTGCAAAACTGCCATTCCATCAATCATCAGTGCTGCATCATCTGGCTTTCCATCAAATAGACAGTCTGTCACCTTTTCTTCTATAAAATTTAGAATAGCTGCTTTGTTAGTCTTGGCAAGTTTTGTGCCATCATCAGCTGCAAGAGGATATGAAACTCGCCCAAGAGAATAAGACAGGATTTCATGTAGATCTACCTTGCTATTTTGACCAATAATAAGTAGCCTAGCAAATATGTTTCGATCATTCTTCACATCAGAGTCTTTAGATGACTTTTTGGATGGCTTTTTCTGGAGGTCTTTGAAGGTCTTCAGCTTCATCATTTTCAGAGGTCTGAACACATCTGTTTTGTTTGTGACCAAGCGCTCCGAGATATACTGATCAACAGCCATCTCACCCTTAAGTTTTGCTGCAAGGAGATCTGTCTTTATTTCCTCTGTAGCAACTGCCCCTGAACTCAGACACACAAGATCCATTCCTTGATACTCGAATGGGTTGATCATGCTGTCAACAGAATCTATTATAGATCTGATGTCACTCTCATTCCTCTTCATCCGAGACAGGTCAAGTTCTTTGGAGCTCCTTGTCTCGTGACTGAGACCGGCCATTGATTCACACTGTGGTGTTATGGCAGCACGATGGGGTTGTGCTAGAACCCATCTCTGAGTTGCTCCTCTATTCAGTGTGATACCATTCAGCCCACCACTAGTTTTGGTGTCACGGTTGCATGTCTGTTCGATAGCCTGATCACATGCAATGGATGAAAATCCATATGCATCTTGGCTTTGAACAGTCCAATTTCTTTTCTCAGAGATTTCTTCATAGCATGCAGGGTGGGTTTCTGACAAGTTCATCATTTCAAGCCAAGAAACTGGAAGATACCTGGCATAGTTTATGTGGTCATATGCAAAATACCATGGAAGCATATACTTTAGAGTGGAAATATTCAAATTCCAATTGGACTCTCTGGTTGCTCTGATAAAGCTAAGTAATACCTGGACAATATCTAGATAAGAACTCCAAAGGGCAAATGTAGGACTAGATTCACTCTTAGTATCAACATACTTCTGATAACAACTCATGATATCTTGGAAATCTTCAGCCTGGATGAGATCAAAAACCGACATAGGCGACAAATGATATGATGTTTTCAAAGTTTCCATGACTTGATTTATCCTTTCTGATTCTTCATCAGGTAATGAGGCGACAAAGTTAGCAAATCGCAGGCGCTGTAATGCCTCATATAGAAGCTTGTGAGCTCTAATACTACGGTTATAGTGATGGCCTGAAATTACTCCATTCACCGAACCTTTTGCAACAATGTCTGCTTCTACTAACAAATCAGATAGCCCTGCAACACCAAACCGTTTCCCGATCATTCCTAAGAAAGACATGCATGTATGAAACTCACCAAGACGGATCATAACCCTTTTCTGGATATCATCGTCGAGCCAGCGTATCTCTTGTGCCTTTGCATATATTGCTAAGTCGAAGACAAGAACAATGTGGGGAAGTTGTAACTGGTCCGCTCTCTCAATACTTCTCTTTAGAATTGTATTGACTGTTGTCATTTCTGTTGGAGAGGCTTCGATAACTGGAAGGTAATAGATCACAGATTTTTCACAAGTCTGACCTTTGGTCAAGGTTATATTAAACCCTGTCCAACCTGGAATAATGCCCAAAGCACAGGTAGTGAACTTTGACAAAATGTAAGCAAAGTCTAACGATTTGGACAACCTAAGGTTTTCCACATGAATATCTTCAGAATCCTTCGACTTATCAGTCACACTGCCTGGACCTTGCCTTGGTCTACGACGATATACTTCAAGGACCAATTCGTGGGGCTTTAAGGACCTTACACCTTTTTTTACCTTCACTTGAGCCTGGGGAATTAGAGTCTCAAAATACTTTCTCTGAATCATGATTCCATTAGTGTGATGGGTGGTACCCTTCCCCGACGATGTTTCCTCTCCAAAATCTATATTGTCCCACACTAGAACAGTAAAGTTATTACTGGCAAACCATTGTGGGAGATCCAAACCTCTGGACAACTGAAGCTGAGCAAGACTTGTCTCCAAACCTACTACAGATTCCCAAGAGGCACAGTGACCAAGTTTACTTACCAGGTTTACAACCTGAAATGACCCTGTCAAGTGGCGCAGAGTTAAACCAAGTGTTAGAGATTTTGGGGTTTGATTTCTACCTTTTGAGGATAAATAAATAATATCTTGGCAGATTGACAATAAACGAAGATCAACCTCCTCCGATACATTTACCATGTTAGATAATGTCAACTCATCACTTACACCTATGCACCAAGCAAGTAAATTATACAGTTCAATTGGCACAATCTTTCTAGCTGAGGAAATATTTAGATCCTCAGATGTAGGAGGCCAATTGGCACTCATGTTAGGGACACTCTTAACTGCTTGTTTAAGAATTATACCAGCACTATAAATGGTTCTGGTACGGTCTTGTTGTGCTGCATATGTACCACTTTCCTGAACTGTCTCTCCACCACTCGACAAAGTCTCTTGCGATCATGATGACTCAGTTTCAGTAGATGAACCCTTGTTGAGAAGTCCTGTAGCTTCTGTAAAAACCATTTCACTTAGGTTTTTCCTCGGAGGCTTGTAGAAATTTAGTTGGGGAAAGTCTTGGCTCAGTCTTTTCTTCAGAAGATCTGATCTGTAAAAAATTTACAAGGAATAATAAATATATGCTGATGTGAATAATCCATCCATGCTCAGGGAGAACATGCAAACTCCATGCAGAAAGACCCAGGGTTGGATTTGAACCCAGGACAACAGTGGCAACAGGGCTACCCACTGCACCACTGTGCAGCCCTGATGTGAATAATATCAAAATCTATTAATGAATCATAATTACCTGTAACTTCCATGACCATGGTGTTCTCGTATCATTTTCTGGAACAGGGAAGAGAGCTTTTTCATCCTGAAGATTTCCTGTTTTTTAATCAACTGTCCCCAAATTATTTTGTCACAAAATTCTGTGTACACAGTGGCATACTCCCAGGCTTTTGGCATCCTGTGTGAAACAATACAAAATACAGATTAGTTAAAATGCTTACTCAATCTTAAAATTAACATTGATAGAATATCTCATTTCATACAGATTTATGGTTAAAATGTTTTATGTAAAACTGCATCCAAATTTTTATAATTTCTCTACTAACTGGGCTTCATTTGTAAGAATAATCAACTTTTAAAAATGTTTAACCCCAGAATGTAACCCTACCATCAATATAAGGTCCATTCTCAAGTATTTGTATTTCACAAATATTCTACTTGAATTATCTGAAATTTACCTTTCATCACTTGTTGTAGCCCCCAGAAATCTTGTATATTCTTTGTAGCACCGTTTGTGGTACCGCACTTCAATTGCGACACAATCTTTTCCACGTACATCCTTGAGGATGGATTCGTCCATTTTCAGTTCAGCTGCTTTAACCAAACTCCCTAGTAAAGAGAGAGTTAAAAAAGTTCAATCATAAACCAGCTGCCAACAAATAATATCAAATACTTTTTCTCTGTTTTAGGAGACTGAACTGGTAGTTGGGTGACAAATTTAAAATCTAACCATTATTTGACAAATGAATTAATTGCCTATCATCACTTCAAGTTCATAATAATGCCTTTTATTTTTTTTGAGGCCCTACACATAGCCTTCATACGCTTACTTCGCAATGAAAAGAGCAGGCTTGGGCTGGCACCAATTACACATGCATTTATTTTTTTACCAACAAATGTATTACTTTTGCTTTTGGTTAGAAGCCACAAACAAAGATGCAGTCTGCAAATTGTCTACTCACCAGCATTTATAGTTTCTGCTTGGACCAATTTATCTTTCTTTGTCTTGTGTCATTCTTTCACAAAGCGGTAAGCCCTCTTGCAAATTATACAGACAGCAGGAAGTACATTGCCAGACCTCGATGATTTAGTCGTGGATCTCAACCGTTTTGGAGATGGTGGCCGGCTAGTCGTGGACGTGGTTGTGGAAGACTCGTGATCAGAATCAGAACCATTGTTGTCACCACCACATGCTCCCCGTTTTACTGCTAGTTTTTCAGCACTGGCAATTCGTTTCTTATCAATGAAACGCCTATAACAAGTTGGATGAAAACCAAGTTTGTTTACCTCCAAGAAGCTAGAAAGATTTTCATCTGGACAAGCCAGGGCTGACGTGGAATCGTCATTGTTATTTCTGGCTGACTCATCATGTACACATACAGCCTCCGCCAACGTGCGGTCGATTCCGTCAATTTCTAGCCACTTACGGGCACATACAACCAGCTTCTTCCAACGAACAACTGTTAGTGGCTGTGTCCGTTCTTTGTCTACCGATGATATGTGTGTGATGCATTTATAATCCACATTTTTCTTGCATTTTCTGTCTGATCCAATGGGAACACTCTGCTCCATGGCTCCAAAATGCACTTAGGATTTTATTGTAGGTGTCATTTAGTAGTCCCTAAATAGGTGGAGCGAACCTGAACGATACAGGCTTCAGCCTATGGCCTATTCCACGACGTCCGCATCACCTACCTTCTCAAGTGATGAGGTTTGTTTACATAGATAATTTTACAGATTTTTTTTTTTTACAGAGTATTTCATTAGTCTGTGTGTTCAGTACCGTCTCAGTTCATCTCTCTCGTAATGGGCGATCTCGCAATCGCTAGTTTGTTGGCTCTGCGCTGCCGTAGCGCAAAGATGTCTGCCTCCATGGCTGCGAGACCCGCTCCTATGTAATTACAAATAACGAATTCTAAGGCAACGCAAATATTAAGGTTAAAAGGCTGAGCTCGTAGATGATGATAAATAACATAGTTATGTATAATATATTACATTTCTGACCGTATATCCCTGTAATTATTACACACTGTAGCTTTAATTTATTTTAGCTCCTGGTATAAGTTTTTATAAATATCTATCGGACTAAATAAAGTTGTTTTAAGTGAAGGATCTATTATTTTGTGTATTATTCTGTCTGATTGTGTTTTATGGAGCTGGAGGATAACAGTCGACTGGCTCTACAGTATTTCCCATCTCATAGAATCTTTGTTAGAAGAACCTCAATACATCCTCTGCTTTGTATGTAAGAATTTCATCAAGCTCTTTTCTAGTCTCTTTTAATTCCTTTATAGTGTCATCTCCTCCTCTATGTTTATGCTCAATTTCTAGTTGTTTTATTTTATTTTCAAGTCTTATTTGTTCTTCCATGCGTTATTTCTTAAGTCTAGAAGACATCTGTATAATTTATCCTCTTAACACTGGCTTGGCTCCACTCCACATCATAGGTGGAGTAACTGATCCATTGTTGTTTATCTCTAAATATTCAAGTAAATGTTGTCTCAGTTCCTGGATCACTGATGTGTTGGTGAGTAGTGATACATTTAACCTCCAATATCTAAAGGGAGTGTCCTTACTTAAGTATTGTTGTAGGGTAACTGGAGCATGATCACTCAGAGTAATTGGTTCAATACTACAGTCAATTACTTTATAAAAATATTTTTGAGGTATGCAAAAGAAGTATATCCTTCAATAAATATTATGAACTTTCGAGAAGAAAGTAAAATCCTTTTTACTTGGGTTTTTTAAATCTCCATGGGTCCCCCAGTCCCAGTTCAGTTATCATATTATTAAGTATGTTTGTTTTTCTGCTCTGTCCCTACATCTCTTCTGGAGTCCTATCCATTTTGCCATCATGTACTGCGTTAAAGTCTCCTTTAACTATTACTATGCCTTTAGCATTCTCTGCAATTTTATTAGCTATTTCTTTAAAGAAGGATTCATCACATTCATTAGGAGACTAATGAATGAATTAGGAAACACTCAGAATAGATATCTCCTCCTCCCACATCCGACCAGGACAAAGACATATCTCCTCGCGGACAATGCAGGCGGGGGGCGGGGCACCGCCCAATCTCAGACACTCTGTAGTGGGAGAAACACAGGTAAGTGACCACGATCATCTAATAGAAGATTATCTGAGTTGGTCACTTACCTGGTTTAACAGTCCAGACCAAGAATGTCCCTAAGTGCTGCTGTCTCAGAGGTCATGCTGGAAGCCGATCCTGGTCAGGGATCCAGAACAGACAGGAACAGACAGAACAGGCAGGATCCAGATCAGGCAGGAAAAGAAACAGGTGGCAGGATCCAGACTTCCAGGCATCCTCTGGCTCCCAGGAGAGTTTAGAGTCTGACTGGGACCAGAAGCATGACCAGGTGGTCACGCACAGGAGCAGACAGGATCAGGTGCAGACAGGCAGGCTCAGTGGAAGAGGGTAGCTGAGACAGGACGTGGAACCGGAACTTGATGCAGGACCTTTAAACTGGTCTCCTCCCTGGAGCCAGGCTTACTTTGATAAAAACTGAATCTCCCCACATATAGAGCCAAAAACCCAGAGGACTCCGCGAGGGAGGAACAGTGGACGATCAGGAGACAAGACAAACACAAAAACCTCTTTCCACTGGCTGCTAGGATCCAGGACATGAACCATAAACTAAAACTGGACAGGCTAACAGAAAGACAAGAAATGATCTGGCCCTGAATGCTCAGGCTGAACTGAACGTAACAAAGAGGAAACAGGTGAGGGGAATAAATTATAATTGAGGCAGGGAGGGAAAATGACAGGTGAAAGGAATGACTAATTAAGGGAGAGCAAACAGGCCAGATCATGACACAGAAAAGGTGTCACTGCTCTCACATTTTTGTCTTAAGTTGCTTAATAACTTCCCGGACCTGTGTATGTTTCTTCTGTATGTTTGCGGTGTAATCTTGGTCGAAGTATATCCTTTGGCCGTGATGGGTGACATCACGTTTACTCCATGCCGTCTGTATTACTTTTTCTTTTACTCTGTAGTCAGAGAACCTGACGATGATTGACCGTGGGGTAGCGGAATCTTAAGGCTTCATATTTAGCGATCAGTGGGCCCTCAATATTAAGATTTATATCCTGCTGTAGTTTAAGTGAGGTGCGCATCAAGTCAGTGACGAAGGACATCATGTCATTCTTTTCTTCTCCTTCAGGAATTCCGTAGATGCGTAGATTTTTGCGCCTCGCTCTTGACTCGAGGTCTTCACATTTAGCTGAGAGATTCGCTTCTCTCTGTAGCATGTAGCGCAGCACACGGTCATGGCGGAGTAGCTGGTCCTCAGCGTCTCTTTGGTTGGTGTCAGTAATTTGCTGCTCCAGTTTCGTCATTCTCTCAAGCACGTCTTTCAATGATGATTCCACCCTTGACAGAGTAACTTTAGTTTTGTATGAAGCTTCCGTTTGTTCCTTTCTCAGTTGTATTAACTCTGCAAGCACGATGTCCATGTTGTCTTTCTGTTCACTCACAACCGATGTAGTTTCTGAAAGTTGGCAGGTTTCTTTCCGCGAAGTCGTTTTATTTTTCTTATCAGCTTCTTTTCTGAGAGTAGACATTTTTGTAATTCGTCGGGTTGTTATAAATTATATGTTATATTGCCAACTAAGCTAGTTTTATGGGATTTTCCTCAGAGCAGGGCAATCAGGCTGCTTCTCCTTTCATGGCGTCACCGAGACTTGAAAAACTCCCTTTTAGAAACCTCGAGCAGAACCAGGGTCAATGTGAGCGGCCATCTGCCGAGACAGACTAGGGTTCAAGAAGACAGAAGCAGACATAAAGAAAGAAGCAGAGATACAAAAGACAACTATAACAGGTGATCCTGTCCAGGAAACACACAGCCAGGCAGGCTACAAAGGTTAAACCAGAAGCACACAATGAGTGGAATGTTGATGTAGTAGTATTAGCGCACCTAAGGTGCGTGTTAATAGTTTTGGTTTTCTAGACACTTTAGCCTTTTTTCTCAAGCAGCTGGTGTATCATGGCAATAGTCCCTGCATGAGACTAAACTGTTACTATGGTGACAAGAGCTTCCTGGTCTGGTAGTGCAAGAAATTGCCTTCTCAAAACCGGGGGCTTACCTGCACAGGTTTTATGGTGTTTTTTTTCTTTTGATGAATGAATGAAATAAATAAATTAAATAAAGAAGAGAGTAGCCACTGATTAAGAAAGGCCATAAGCCATGTGCAGAAAAGGATTGGGCAGAGTCACAGTTGACAGCGAAGAGTATGTCACAATTTAGTGTGCGCCAGCCATGTTTTGAGTGAGGGGGTGTAAAGTTAAACTGCAATTTAATATCAGCTCATTCAGTTCCAAATGATGGCCTATAAAACAGTGTCTCTGGTATCACATATCTCATGCTGGGTAAACCTCAAAACCTTCGCAACCTTGTTGCAAATAATGCTGGCACATTCTACATAAGGATTTCTAAACTTCTGAATGTTCCTGTGAGCACTGTTGGTGCCATAATCTGCAAGTGGAAAGAACATAGTTTCACCATAAACCAACCAGGTGTACCTTGCAGGATTTCTGACAGAGGAGTGAAAAGACTTATTAGAAAAGCTTTCCAAGTGCCAAAAACCACTTGTGGCAAGTTTCAGAAAAACCTGGAATAGCGGGTACAATTGTTTCAAAGAAAACAAGAACTAATGCACTCAACTGCCTTGGCCTCTATGGCATACAAGACTCTTTTGCTGAAGAAAAAGCGTGCACAACACGCCCAACATTTAAAGAAGCCTGTGAAATACTGGGATAATATGGTGGTAAAAATTCTCAGTCATCTAGGTCATAGTCATTCCAAAGTTCCAAAAGTTAAAAAAGAATCCACTGGACTTTGTTTTCCAAGTTTGAACATGTTTTGCCTCCCGTCCAGGAAGCTTTCTCAGGTCACAATATCTTGATCAAAGTTGAGTTCCATGCATTATAAATTAGCCCAACAAAAGCCTTGTTACACTATATTGCCAAAAGTATTTGCTCACCTGCCTTGACTCACATATGAGCTTAAGTGACATCCCGTTCCTAATCCATAGGGTTCAATATGACGTCGGTCCACCCTTTGCAGCTAGAACAGCTTCAACTCTTCTGGGAAGGCTGTCCACAAGGTTTAGGAGTGTGTTTATGGGAATTTTTGACCATTCTTCCAGAAGCGCATTTGTGAGGTCGCACACTGATGTTGGACGAGAAGGCCTGGCTCTCAGTCTCCGCTCTAATTCATCCCAAAGGTGTTCTATCGGGTTGAGGTCAGGACTCTGTGCAGGCCAGTCAAGTTCATCCACACCAGACTCTGTCATCCATGTCTTTATGGACCTTGCTTTGTGCACTGGTGCACAGTCATGTTGGAAGAGGAAGGGGCCAGCTCCAAACTGTTCCCACAAAGTTGGGAGCATGGAATTGTCCAAAATGTCTTGGTATGCTGAAGCATTCAGAGTTCCTTTCACTGGAACTAAGGGGCCAAGCCCAGCTCCTGAAAAACAACCCCACACCATAATCCCCCCTCCACCAAACTTTACACTTGGCACAATGCAGTCAGACAAGTACCGTTCTCCTGGCAACCGCCAAACCCAGACCCGTCCATCAGATTGCCAGATGGAGAAGCGCGATTCGTCACTCCAGAGAACGCGTCTCCACTGCTCTAGAGTCCAGTGGCGGCGTGCTTTACACCACCGCATCCGACGCTTTGCATTGCACTTGGTGATGTATGGCTTGGATGCAGCTGCTCGACCATGGAAACCCATTCCATGAAGCTCTCTGCGCACTGTTCTTGAGCTAATCTGAAGGCCACATGAAGTTTGGAGGTCTGTAGTGATTGACTCTGCAGAAAGTTGGCGACCTCTTCGCACTATGCGCTTCAGCATCCGCTGACCCCGCTCCGTCAGTTTACGTGGCCTACCACTTCGTGGCTGAGTTGCTGTCGTTCCCAAACACTTCCATTTTCTTATAATACAGCTGACAGTTGACTGTGGAATATTTAGGAGCGAGGAAATTTCACGACTGGATTTGTTGCACAGGTGGCATCCTATCACAGTTCCACGCTGGAATTCACTGAGCTCCTGAGAGCGACCCATTCTTTCACAAATGTTTGTAAAAACAGTCTGCATGCCTAGGTGCTTGAATTTATACACCTGTGGCCATGGAAGTGATTGGAACACCTGATTCCAATAATTTGGATGGGTGAGCAAATACTTTTGGCAATATAGTGTATGTCTTAGAAAAAATCCAAATTGAACCAAAAAAACAGGTCAAAACTTCAGTAGTAGGGGGTCGTTGATGTCATTGCTGGTGTCGTGATCTTTTGTTCAATGCTCATCCGGGTTGGGTGCCACATTAATGTTGTGGATTTATATTCTATTCAATTCCTAGAGAGCTGGGAATTTATATTTCTGATACTTTAAGATGTGTATTGCCCTCCCCGGTAGGGGTGGTAAATATCTTATGTAATTAGATATTATTTTGGCTGTTATTTACTATTTATGAACACACGCCTGTGTTAGAACAATAAATGAAATGCTGATTCAAGCACTAATCATGGTGAAACAGTTAATTCTGCACATACATGGAATAAATTCACCACAACTTCTGTTCAAAATATAAGAGTTTGTTAACAAAAATCATTCAGCTCCAAGTCAAACATATTTCAGATTAACACTCTTAACTAAAAACTAGTGAAACTCAACTAAACTATGTAGAAAGAGGAAGGGGAAACATGGTTGAAAAATATAGTATAATTTAAGATGGGTTTTGTGTTTGAAAAGTTTATCTGGAAGAATTTGGGATATGCTCAATTAGCTTTTCACTAATTTAGAGAAAATTGAATGTTTTCAGACCAATTCACAATGCAAAATCCATGAGGTGAAATGCCAAATAATGTTTTATTAAATGATTTGCTTAATCAACAACCAATAACCTTTAGTCAAATTATTCTTTAGTCTTTTTGAAATAACAGCAGCAAATAGACATCAGTATTCCACTAAATGACTCTTGGTCATACTTGGCAATCGAAATGTAATGAGCATATGAGGAACACATGAACACTAATGTTATATCAGTTTATCAGTTTTTAAACCCTTAGTGAAATAAAGCTTGTCCACCCTTCAACAACTGCTCACAGCATATTCCTGTAGCATAGCGTAGCATGTGATCTATCCTGTTAGCTTCGTCGTTACTCATCAGTAAACACATGAAATGATCAACATCATCAAAAGACATTTTGTTTTTTCTGTCCCGAATTATGCCACACCTGCAAACCTTTTGTCCATTCCCATTTAGAAGGCTTGAGTTTCATGCAGCTGCAGCTCAGTAGTGAGGCCAGCAGCAACCAGGGGTTTCTTTTACCCCATTTACACTACCCTTGAAAAACCGATCCATGCCGAGACCGTTCCGAGCTCGGATAAGTTAACCAGGCCGAGCTTGGTTCTGATGACCGTTTACACATCATGCTATCTCGACTCCTCGCCTCCTAGTGATGATCTGCGGTATCACTGCCAGTATTGAAGGAGGAAATCAAGCAGTTGGTGGCGGTAATGCACCAAAAGTTGTTTGCCAACTGCCATAAAACACAAGAAGAAGGAGACGAATAACGAGGGAATCAGGCAAATCAAAATGGCGGCGCCCGTCACATTCAGAAAGTTATGCTAGATTATTATTGCTGTACTTCGGTGTTTGCGGAGGGTCAGGTGAAGACGGCAACAATAAAGGGGTCAGTCTCTGCGTCATCCCAGTCCACACCATGCTCTTTTGAAGCCATTATTATTATGTTGCGCAGAGAACATTTCGATTGTTGTTTATAGTTGTTGTTCTTCTTTTGTTTTGTGTTGGTTGGCAAGCAACTTCCGGAGGGGCATTACCGCCAACTACTGGAATGGAGTGTGAATCGGGATGTGCAGCCAGACGGAGATGACGCATTCTCCTCATGGGCTCTTGTTATCAGAGAACCAAGCCAGGGAAAAACCTAGTCGAGCCCACCTCTGGAACTGGTCTGCAGTTAACTCGGTTCGGTTGTGTCTAGCTCGGTTCAGTTCAGTTTGCTTTCCATTTACACATGATAAGTTATGTCAGTTACTGAGCTCGGACCGGTCTCGGCACGGTTTTTCAAGGGTAGTGTAAATGGGGTATTAGTCTCAGTGGCTCATTTCAGGGGTCCTCCTTTTCTCAGTTGCTCACTCCAAGGCTTTTTTTTTTCTCTTGCCTGTTCTGATTTGTAAATATAAATTCTCATCTCTGTGAGCTTTCTGGCTTAGCCTGCTTGGCCTCTTTGTTGGTTATACACACACAATCAGCTAATTAAATCCTGGATTAATCCAGTTTTTTTTATTTATTTTTTTTATAAAATTGAAACAAAACGAAATAACATTTTCCGTTTAATACAGTACCCAGCTGGTTGGCATCATCAATGCTGCGTGATGTGATTCCCCTCAGACCTTGGGGAGGATTACCTAAGAAGTTATAGCAAGCAGATAGCTATCTTATTTTACTTAACAGATTAATAATGTAGTGTTATTTGAACTACTCAGGTAATAAACCTTTCTTGAAAGGTTTATTATCTGAGTAGTTAAGATGGTAAACAAGACAAAAGGGCTATATTGATATTAAAATATTATTTTCCTGCCCTGGACATGCTCTACCTCCATCTAAAAGCCAAAATAATTTCTTCACGGCTTTTCTTGTTTTCCTAAGATTATTTTCTATGTTTTCTGTTGTTCATGTAGAGTAAAATTTTATTTTAGTGTGCAGTGTACCAAGAGCCAATTTAATTGCCTATCTCTGTGGTGTTTATATCTTTCAGCTCCCAGTTCAAGAAGAATTGTGATCCTTGGTAAGACCGGGGATGGGAAAAGCAGTGTTGGAAACACTATTTTTGGGACAGAACAGTTTGACATCTCTCATTCTTTCAACTCTGGTGAAAGTCCCTGCCAAGCTAAAACTCAACACCTCAATGGAAAAGAAATAACCCTGATTGATACGCCTGGCTTCTTTGATACAAAAATACCTGAAAAAAAATTAAAGCCTGAAATAGTCAGGTGCATCACAGAGTGCTTACCTGGACCACATGCTTTCCTCATTGTGATTAAATATGGAAGATTTTCGAAGCAGGAGAATGAAATCTTCAACCAAATAACTGAATACTTCTCTGAAGAAGTGTTCAAGTTTGCAACAATTGTCTTCACCCATGGTGATAATCTCCCTGAAGGGAAGAAAATCAAAGATTACATTAGCCACAATGCTAATCTGAGTGAATTAGTGAAAAAATGTGGTGGTCGTTGCCATGTCATAGACAACAAATACTGGAACAAAGATTCAGACAACCCGTACAGGACCAACAGCTACCAGGTTAATAAGATACTGGAATCAATAGAAGAGATAGTGAATGCAAACGATGGAAACTGCTACACCAATGAGATGCTCAAAATAGTGGACAAAATAAAAAAACATGAAGAAAAACAAATTGCAAATTCTTCTGGAAACATGTCAGAAGAAGAAACCAGGCAGGAAGCTAAAAACAGAGTTTGGAAGTTTTTAACAAAAGTAGCTGGTATATCAACAGGTTTACTGTTAGGGGCGTTTTTTGGTGCGGTGAGAGCTTGTCTAGCTTTTATTTCATTATTTAAATCAGTCGGTAATCTAGATGCAGCAGCAAGCGGAATTAACGTTGCAGCAGCAGCTCTTACTAACTCAGCTGGAACAGGAACCGGCATAACATCTACTACAGTGGCTGGAACTGTGGGAATCACAGTAGCAGCTGTGTTGGGTGCAGGTGCCGTAGCAGGAGCAGCATCTGGTGCATATAAGGGATATCATGCAGCTGAAGAAGCAGAAACACCATTGCAGGCAGCAAAGAAGACATCAGAGGCACTGTGGAGTTCTGAAAAGGATAATGTAATAAACATTCAAAATTTAAGTGCAAATGTAGGACAGAAAATCATTGAGAGAAATAACTTATTTCTAATGTGAACAAATTGAACATCTGCTAACATATGTACTATTCTAATACTCTTAATTAAATGGAAGAACGAATGGAAATTTTAAAAAAATGATCATTCTGAACCATACTGTGGAAAGTATTTGTTTCAAAAAAATATAGTTTATTTTTTAAAGCTATAGTGATATTGGTAGATAAAGCAAAATAAAAAGATGGAGTATTGTTCACTGATTTAACTATAAATGTTTCAAGGCAATTAGTATCTCTTTTACTTAAAAAAAAAAGTCCACTCTCTGTTATCACTTGTTTATTTATGCTTTTTGGTTCTAAAATAATTATTCAAGCGTGAATTGAAGATGACCATTTAATGCCAAAACTAGCCATCATCTGAACAAATGTTTAGTAGAGACTTGAAAAAGAAAGTATGTAGATATTTCATATGCACCTTATCCTTTTGAGAAGAACTTTAGTGATGATGATTACTGCTTGAGCTGCTTAGTGACACAGTGGGTAACATTGCTTCATTGCAGCAAGAAGGTTCCGGGTTCAATTCTTGGCTCGGGATCTTTCTGCATGGAGTTGGCATGTTCTCTCTGAGCTTGCGTGGGTTCTCTGTGGGTACTCCAGCTGATTACTATTACTGCAATGTAAATGTTGTATTTCTGCTGAAATCAGAAATAAAATATTTTCTTTTCTAATTCAGAGTGCTGCTTCTTCAAACATAACCAATGAAAAGAGACATTTTTTGCAATAATAATTGATGGTTAGCTATCCTATAATGGAGCACAGACTGGGAATATGGACTAAAAAAGAAAAATGAAAATGTAAATGTAAAAAAGGAATTTTTGCAGTATAATTATGTATAATATTTCCTGTTATTGTTGATCATGAAAACAACTGAGGCACTTGGATCCATAAAAGATGTCTTTGGAATATTATATGTACAAAAATTTGCTTACATTCTTGATTTTAGCTCTGATAAATTTGTGCGAGATATTGTGCATAATAATATTTTGTCGATTATGTATTTTATATACTGCAATTTAACCTTTAATCAAGAGGAGAAACTACTTTTGATAACATAGTTATCTTATTTGACAAATGTTGGGCACACCCTGTTTGGTATGTTTGCTATTTTATGGGAACTTCCTGTGTTCTGGAACTAGTTACAGAGTGAAATGAACCTGCAAACCAGCCTTATGTCAGAATACTTAAAACAAGGCAATGAAGAGACATGATACCTGAGTGAGGCCTTTTCTGAGGGAATTCAAAGCACTATTTTCTTCAAAGACATGGATGGTAAGATACATTCACGACATAAAAACATTACAGCTTCTTTAGGAATCTGAAATAGTGTTAACTTTTGCTTTCATTTAGCTTTTAAATGTTTAAATGTTTCATTTATCTTAGTAAGATTCCTATTTGATATTTGGAATACACACTTTTATCCTAACTTATTTAGGTTTATGTTTATTTGTTTATTTATTATTAGGATCCCCATTAGCTGTGCTTTACACCCAGCTACTCTTCCTAGGGTCCATATCATTAAAATACAGTATACAATGTATATTCATGAACATGTTTGACAGATAACAAATATCATACATATCAATAAGACTGAACATTCAGGTAGGGAGTATTGAAAAATAACAATAAATGCAATTCACTGTAATTATAAAATGAGTAAAAATGTATTTTAATAAATGTCTTGAAAATTACTTGGTATAAGTGTTATGTCAAAAGTGTTTATTTATCTATACATGCATCAGAGCTAAATGCAATCAAGCTATATATCAATATATTTAGTATACTAGTATACGCTTATTAGGTTGAATTGGTACATGGATTTTACAATCTATGCAACCAAGAAATATGTTTCAGATGAAAGTCAAAAAATTGTATTAAGCAAAATTTGGTAAAGCAATGTTTGTATAATGTAGCGTGAAATTAGCATGCTGTTTGGTTGTTTCCCTTAATATAAATTTCCTATATGGAAATGAGCAGTTTTCCTCTCTAGAACTACATCAATCACCTTAACTCAGCAACACAAGGAAAGCTAATTTCTAGAAAGATTTAACAGATCTGATCCAGTTTGTAATTTTGTTTTTGCATGTCTTCAGACTAAAATTCAATATAGGCAGAACTTGATCTGGGACCGTTTTATAATAGTAAAACATTTACATTGGTACAGTAAACTTATCTTGGTTATCTCAGCAGAGGTAATCAGTGTACACTGTTTCTTATCAATTACAGATAGCCAGTTTTACTCACTTTTTTTAACTCATAGTCTTTATTGTTTAAAAATCTACTTGGGAATTTAGACTGGACCTTGTTCTTCTTCCTTCCATTATTTTTTTGGGTAGTAATTGTGACACAGAGGCTCTGGGTAGGCAGCCTGAGAAGTACACTGAATTAAAATTAAACCTGAAAAAAACAAACAACAAAATAAACAAACAAACAAGTTTTATCCTTGTAGCTGAGCCTGGGGCCACACCCTGGAATGAATGCATACTGGGAACTTTTCAGTTGGAATTTTTTCATTGTTTCTATCATTTCAAGAGAGCAATAAAAAGAAAACAAAACAAAAAAAGAAGCTACTTGGAGTTATTGAGAGGTGTAGAAGCAGAACTATGTTCAAAGGTTGAAAGGCAGGTTTGTTCATCATCATAAACAAACCTTTTACTTTTAGTTTCTTTTTGGATTCAAAAACTGGTTTAGATAATGAATATAGACTTGCAGTTAAGATAAATGGTTGTTGTTAGTGACAGCATCTCTGTTACAGAACACAGCTGGGCAAAGCAATCCTTCGTGTAGATCTGTTGAAGTTGTATATCTGGTTTTATTTCTTGACATGTACAAATTTTTTTCTGAAAAATATCAAGGTTAGATTTTTTTTTAAAACCTGTTCAAATTTTAAGTACAAGTACACAAATTCTGTTCTACAAGTTGCAACCTCTTACATTCTCAATTTTGCTCCAAATGTTCCAAAACTATGGTTGCAAAACTATTTGTGCATTGCAACTTTGGTGTTTTGTAAGTGTAGATTTTAAACAAGCAACTAGTTATGTAAAAAAGCACACAAAAAAAGATGTGATAACAAAGATTCCAAAGATTTTTTTAGACAAAAATAGCTTTAAATCTTAAAAAGGGGTATGAATCATTTTTAGTCAAATAGTGGGTAACAATATTCACCCTTCCAATTTTAGATCAAGAGAGAAATAAAAATTTTTATAATTAGCTAAATGTGTCATAATGTATTCCAAATTTGAAATGTTTATGTTAAACCTGTTTATTGGTCATATTATATCAAGTCCGTGGGTGAGTCTTTTACCTGACCTCATCAAAATCTTTATAGGTGATATGCTGAGCAGGTCAGAGATAATCAAGAGCTGAAGGACAGTTTAGATTATATCTGCTGTATCGCAGCACATTAGAAACATAAAATCGGGTTTAACTCCTGACTAATGATTTTATTGGATGGTGCTGGTAAAAATACCAATATTCCGTACTAAACAAACAAACAAACAAACAAAAATTTTCAGGGACAAAATGTGCACTGAGGGTTGCTGGAAACTGAAAGGTCCAAAAAAACAGTCGGTCTTTACTAATCTCATGATACCAACAGGAAAATGTTGAGTAAATGGCAGGCTCAGAACTGAAGGACCAGTATTCAAGACGGACAAACAGAAGAAACCTCTGCGGGCGGAAACAACATCTTAGTGACCACGTCTTTCTGGAAATGAATGATCACGAATGTGCGAGCCACTAATCTGGTCTCATAGTTCAGTCCGAATCCAGAGATAGAGGATGATTCCAGCCAGCTGGCTGCCAACTCAGTGTTGCAGCACCACAGAGAGGATCCCAGGAGCTGATGTTTTGTTGTTTGGAGGACAGGCAGGAGATCAGAACCAAGCAGATGAATACAGGCAAGATAATCTGAAGGTCAAAGCCAATGCCAATGTCGCTAACGTGGTCGGTTGTCAGAGCCAGGAGATCAGAGATACAGTGAGGTGCTGAAGGAGAATCCAGGTCCAAGTTCCAGGTACTGTACTTAGTGCTTCTAATGGGCTGGGCGAGGTAAGGCAGACTCAGTGTTTGGGAAACTCTTCCGGTCGGAACACAAGCAGGCAGAGATCAGGCAGGATACCCTAACCGGGGTAATGAGAACTTAGCGGAGGCAAGCAGGTGTGTGAACTGAGTAATCAGACCATGTCAAGATCTCGGCACTGGGCACAGTAATTGATACTGACCAATTCTGCCTGTTGACCTCTGAGCCTTCCTGTTCCCCTCTGATCCATTTGCCTGACCTGTCTTCTAACTCCTGCTGGATCTCTGTCTATTTGTGTACAGTACCTAGAACCATTACCTGACTCCGACTTCTCCCTTGGCGTTTCACTTGATCTCTGACCTCCTGGTTCTGACAACTGAGCAAGTCACCGACATCGACTTTGGCTTCGCCCTCTGGATTATTCTGCCTACATTCATCTGCTTGGTTCTGATCTCCTGCCTGTCCTCTGACCGTCGATACATCAGCGTCTGGGTCTCTCTGTGTGGCGACCGCCGCAGCGTGGTGACGGCTAATGGGTTGGATCGAAACCTTACCATCTGGGCTCAGAACAATATATATGACCAGAGGTTCCTGCCTTAGATGCAGACGCCACCCAATTTTCATTAAACGTTTTTAGAATTCCGTTTGTCCACCTCGAATACTGGATCCTTCTGTTCTGAGCCTGACAGACCAGGCATCAGTGCAGAGATCATGACAGTAAAACATCTGTTCAGTAAAACAATGTTTAAATAAATCACTGGAGACAGGAAATACATATATTTGATGAAGCCTTTAGTAAATCTTAACATATGTTTAGACATCAATGCAGAGTGAAAGCATCCCACGATTACCTGGATGTTTAGACATCAAATTTTGGATTTGCATAATTTCCACATTAAATAAGTACCTCTTTATGTCTAATTATTTAGAAGACTCCTAGATTACTTAAAAAATAACATGCATTCTGAGTTAGTAAACCGCTGTTTATGCGAATTTAAAAACCCAGGCATTTACCACTATATCAAAGCCTCTTCATGCCATTCAAGAGAGAAATTTATTTTCTGGAGTTTTTTTTCACAATCTGTTGATAGTGATAATATTTATAAGCAAAATCACAGGATGTCTGTTGGTGTTTACATTTGCAAAGCCTCAGCAGCAAACGCAGCGGCTCACTCACCCATGTTTTCCATGCAGATCTGTTCTAAACTGTTTCTCTTGTATTAATAGGTTCTCCAGCTGCATGTTGTGGCTTAGGAAAAGGACAAAACAACTTTCAACGTAGGTAATTTTTACTGTTCCCCGGATATAAAGAAGTTAATTAATGTTTCATCTGCTTTAATAATTGTCATCTCTTTTATGACATTGCTGTCAAAATATGCTAAAATCTGTTCATTTCCCAGTACCTATATTGTTTTCTCAAAGGCTATATTGTATTTTTCTGCAGCTTAATATGACTTATCAGGTACTTATAGGGACAGAAATGTTATGAAATGTATGCTGTTCCTCCTTTGTTGTCTGCTAATTTTAGTTAGCAGACAACAAAGGTTGGTCAGTAGCCAATCAGTCCGTAAAGACAAAAAAAAAAAGCCAACAAAAATAAAAAAGTCTGACAGAAAAGTAGAAGTCATATAAACTTTAACTCTAATTAGGCACTGTTGTATGGGTTGGATTAAGCATGTTAACACAGTCATTGTGTTTTAATTTTCCAAAAAGAATGAAAAAAATAGTAGGTATAGGATTTCCCCTACTGGTATCATCTGCTCAAAAGCATACAGTTGTCAACGTAGGGTGGAGGTTGGTTGAGGACCCAAATGCAGATATAAGGAGGCAGAGAGGAGTCTTGCTGATTTAATGGCAAAAGAAAAAAAATCCAATGGGATGTTTGCCTAGTAAACTAGCCTCACCTGCCAGAGGCCAAAATAATTTTGACTGCGAGTCTTTCTAGCCTCGATCAATGTTTCAGGCCCTAAATCTGGCTGGCCAATCACAACGCAGAAATGTCTGCGCAATTTTGAATGTCTGGATACGAAGCCAGTGATGGGAGTAACGGCGTTAAAAGTAACGGTGTTACTAACGCCGTTACCTTTTTTTAGTAACAAGTAATCAAAATTATTACACTTAATGTAACTATAACGCAGTTACCATTGCCGACACCCCGTTACTGCACGTTACTCAGGTCGCACAATGAACCTTTTTTCATGATAGGACTCGTGCGCGCCTTGTCATGAGAGGGGAGGATGAGATTGGCTGTTACGGGTGTTAACGCACAGAGAGATGGAGAGTGAGGAGGACTCCAGCGAGCTGCGTTTCCCCATTAGATAGTTTCCGCTGCATCTCCGCACAGCGCAGGCGGCACGATTCACCGTGCAAGCGACAGGAAATGCGCATGCTCGCTAAAGGCGTGTAACAGCCGCGCTGTGCTTGCGCCACAGGGGAACTACGGAGAGCGTGAACGATCAAATGTTGGATGGATGGATGGACTGGGTTTATAGGCCCATCAGATAGCGTTCCCCCCTGATGTCATTTACTTTAAGTTGCAATAAAAGCAAAAGTCTCTGCAGGTCTTTATCTTCAACTCTATTCAGCTGGCTTTTGAAACACACGGCGAGAAGGTGGGGGCTGGGTGGTGAGGGTTACGGGGGCGAGAAATACAAAAGTAACGCAATAGTTATTTATACTTGTAACTAGTTACTTTTATTGTGGAGTAACTCAGTTAGTAACTCAGTTACTTTTTGGGAGAAGTAACTTGTAACTGGAGAAAGCTCAACAATAACATGCACTGCAGCAGCAGCAGCTTTCAATTGAGCGCTCCATTGAAAGTTAAAAGTTATCTTTCTGTTGCCGTTGTTCAATAAAATTAGGTTTTAGGATGATTTGAGAGAATTTGACACTTTAAAGCTTCACTATATGGTCCATTTACCAATTTAATGCTTTATTAAAAAAACAATTTCCGAAGTTCAGGGACCACGGCAACCAGCGGACCTCCGAGGCTAACCGCAGCGCGTCTGCAGCGGCCCTCTCTCGGCATAGTCGTGTGTGAAGGACTGCTGGCTCTGATGGCGATTTTTGACTCAGCTTTGGAAGGGTTAGACTTGGGGTTTGTGTTGAAACGTGAGCAGGAAGAGGCTCTACGCTCATTCATTTTTGAGAATTACACAAACCCACCTCCTTCCTGACGCGCTTACTACGTCACAGTCAGTTGCGGTCATTGGTCAGAGCTTTGACCAACAGACACAGACATGGTTTGAAAAACAACGGGTTGCTCTCATCAACAATCTTCTGATGTCTCACTCATCGGGGCCAGATTGAATTACACATTTAATCTCCCATTTAGTCTGGTTTATCAGGCTAATGGGATGGGCTAATCAGCCGATATTAAGCAAGTGTGGATTGAAATAACTAGAAGGAGAAAGGAGACTGACACAATGAATACAGTTGGAAAAAACAAAGCTATGTGTTTGCCAGCTTATTTTTTTCTTTTATGGAGCACTGAAAATGTCTTTGCATTTCTTGTTTAGGGTATTTACTTGTTTCTTTTGAAAACATAACTGCATGATAAAAGCATTTATAATCTTCATGTCTGTAAATAAAACTGGCAAATTTATACATGACAAAAAGCCAACTTTGAATTATATGGTTCTCTTTGTCTTTCAGGTGAGTTTAGGTAGATAACTGTGACCTTTATTACTGTCTCCTGTTTAGTAATAAATACATTTTTATACAATCAGTTTTTTTTTAGCTATATCAGTTTTAATTATATCAAAAAGAATAAACCTTGTTTTTTCTCTAAACAAATTGTCTCTTAGTACCAAAAAGAAGAATCGTCCTGGTTGGACAAACTGGAGTTGGAAAAAGTAGCCTTGGAAACACGCTATTTAAAGATGAGAAGTTCAAAGCCAGCCATGATCCAGACTCTGGGATGATAATCTGTGAAACAAAGACCAAATGCATCGGTGGAAGACAAATCACTTTGATCGATTTGCCCGGTTTGTTTGATCCAGAAAAAGATGAAAAAGAGCTGAAGCCAGCGTTGATTAAGTGTATCACAGAGTGTTCACCTGGACCACATGCTTTTCTCATCGTGCTCAACATAGAGGTTTATACAGAGAAAGGCAAAGATGTCATCAGCAGAATGAATGAATACCTCTCTGAGGATGTGTTTAAACATGCTATTGTTGTCTTTACTCATGGTGATAGTTTCCCTAGAAGACAACGAGTCAAAGAGTTTGTGAAGACCAATTCCTTTCTCAAAGATTTAGTTGAAAAGTGTGGAAATCGATGCCACGTCGTTGATAATAAATACTGGAGCAAGCGATCAAAGTATAGATACAGAAGCAACAAGTATCAGGTGAAGAAACTTCTCAAGTCTATAGAAAAGACAGTGGAAGCAAACAATGGAAGCTGCTATACAAATAAAATACTACAAGACATAGAGAGAATAATTAAACAAGAAGAGAAACACATCGCAGAGTCTTCAAGAAACATACCAGAGGAAAAAGTCAGAGAAACTGCTCAAGAAAGAGTGTATAATATCCTAAAGAAAGCAGCAGGCTTTACTACAGGTGCTGTGACAGGAGCTTTTTTTGGTGTACTAGCAGTCTTCAAAGGGGTTTCAGTTGCTGCTCAGTTGGGAGCAGCAACTGAAAGACTCTTGAAAGCATGGACTGGAACCGCTGCAAAACTGGCTTTAGATGCAGCAGGAAAACCAACAGCAGCAGACCAAGTGTCAACAGAGCAAGAAGGAAAGGGATCTGAAGGAACAAGAGGTCTTCAAGCAACAGGTATAGGAGAAGGCATGGGAGTGGGGATGCCAGTACTGGCTGCAGCTGCAGGAGTAGGAGCAATACTTGGTGGTATCAAAGGATATGAAGCAGCAGAGAAAGCAGAAACACCATGGGAAGCTGCAACAGAGGCATTTAAGTCTGTGAGTTCTTCCGGGTTTACATTCTTGGAGACATCTCAGGATTTCATATCAAATCTAGCCAACACAGTGTCTAAACCTCTGACTATAGGTAAATATAACAACTAGTTATGTATAATAACAGACATGATTAGAGCCCATTATGACTGAAGTCAGAAACAAACAGTTAAATAAATAGTGCCTCAAACTGACACTTGCAATTGACATATAACAAACTATTATGACTGCTGAAAATTACTGTTCTTATAAAAGGAAGTTTATAAGAACAGTAATTTTCAGCTAATTAGTGTTGTTCCTTAAAAAGGAACAACACTAATTAGATGTATATAGAAAACTTTTTTTTTTCTAGCTTATAGTCGTTTTTATTACAGCTGATCTACAGAGCTGTGAAAAAATATGTAGCTTTTAAATATGTTTTCATTTATCAAAAAATATCACAAAAAGAAAAAAACCAAATGTTTGAAGGCGTTTTAAACTCTCTGTATAAGCAGAGCACATATACTTTTATTATTCCCCCATTTTATAAGGAGAAATGTGTCTGTCTATTTTTTTCATGTCAATTTGCTTTCTGTCATTTCAATTTCTAGAGGGTCACTTGTATTTTTATTAGAAGAGTCTCAATTTTCTTAAAGAGTAACTCGCCCCATATAGAAAAAAAAAATCTGACCAAATTTTGAAAAAGGCCACCAAAATCATGGGCTAAGTGTGGGGACAAGCAGAGGCAGTACAATGGTCCTAAGATAATAAATAGGGAAGCCAAGCTTAGACATACTGAGGCATGGAGAGGGAGCAGAAGGACACTGTTGGTTACACCACTTCACATCCCTGAACCAAGATGTTAAGGGATGCGTTGTGGAGCCATGAGAAACCAAAGCAGTTTATGCCGCTAGATTTATGGTCCTGACTCAGCAATGCCCAAAGCCGAAGCAGCTAAGGCAGTGGAGGACAGGGGACTGTGGAGGTATGTTTCTGAATGAGTTGTATGCAGGGCTATGAATAAAAGCCTGTACCAGCATGTATTGTTTGAAGAAACAGGGAAATAAATCTAAAATAGCTGCCATTTAACCCCAGGAGGGCAACAGTAAGATGGTTCAAAGACTACAGAACTAAAGATATTTAACTGAAAAAATAAATAACACACAGTAACATTGGAATAGCACCCCGCAGACCCTGTTTTATACAGTTTATCTCCAAAAAAGATTGATATTGGGGTGAGTTAGGGGTTGTTTACAATTTTCATTAATTCACACTAGTATATATAAACCCTAGGGTGGGGAGGTGATTCAATCTGCTGCACTCTTTATAAATTACCATTATGCTGGTTTTGCACGTTTTTAATCTGACATTATTTGCAGTATTGTATATTACACTCTCCTGTTTCCATTTGTTTACTTGGCTATCACAATGAATGATAAAATGTTTTATTTTCTCTCATCATGTCTGATCATATCAGCCATCATATAAAACAGATGTTACCTGACATCTTGGGCACAATCTTTTCCTTTTATCCTTTATCTATTGAGTTTTTGCCTGTTTAATCTGCTTGTATATTTTCTGAGACCTGGTGGTTTTTTATTAAATCTGACATCTGATTATGTTTTGATTAAACTTTTGATAATGTTGAGTTAACAAGAGAAAAAAAAACTTTAACATTTATTTTTGAGATATACTTTAAATGTAATCTGGTCTGATTTGTTGTTCAGCCTTTGTTAATTAATGCTCGTATATAGATGTTATTGATTTTACTTTTGCTGATTGTTTTCTGTATACATGGGTATTGTCTTGTTTAAGTTTGTCCCACCTTGCTGTAAGGAGAATTTTCTTGAGGTGAGACAGTAAAATGAAACTGATCCTGATGTTATGCCAATATGCCATGATCATACTTTTTGGACATTGGGAAGCAGTGTCCATATTTCATCCTGATAGGATGACCAGAGAAGAAAACGCAGCTTTGGTGAATAACAGCTGGGGGACTTCTGCAGCCCCCCTTTTTCAGCCAAAGCAGCCACAAGCAGTCACATGGAAGTCACAGAGGTGTGAAAACCTACCCCCCTCCCTGTGAGAACAGAACAAAACCACAGAGCACACAGGACTCTGTCTCTCTTTTGCTCTTCACTTTTCTCCCTCGTCTGATCCAGCCTGCTTCTGCTCCTGCTCTCAAAGCTGGGGCCCACTGTGGCCCACAGTGGAGATGCAGGCCCCAGGGAACCAGATCCCCAGAACCATCAAGGATGAGTCAGAACTCTTCAGAACCTAACTGCTGCAAACAGAACCTTTGCAACACATTTCTCTTGAGTTTCAGAACTTACAGAGCCAAACTGGATGAAGACCATGCCCTGGTGTGAGACTGAGGGGACCCCTGCTGTGAGACTGAGACAAAGGAATCCCTGACTGCAGA